TCTTTGTTATTTACTTTGCTAGTATTTCTGCCCCTCCAGTTCTCACCCTCATTTGATTTGTCTTGCATGAGCTGAAGTTACATTGTCACTCTCATGTTGCTCTCTTCAATATTCTGAGAAGAAACAAAACTGTCTGTGGAGAAAACCAAGTTCTGCATGGCTTCATTGAGGCAGAAATTGTAAGTTCTGTCAAATTAAACATAATTATCTTTAATCACCAACACACTTTTCAGTTTGCTAATAGCACAACATTTAGGCTGATATGCTTTAAAGTTGCAGTCCATGTTGAATTTCTCCTCTGGAGTCTGGTTAAATGCATCTTTGTAGAAGTGAATGGAGAGTGTAGACAGAAGGAGCCACATTAATTTCCATCCATCCACGTGGAGATTGTCTGCATATACAGGAAGAAATATATGACCCTTGCACTTGTTTTAGTTGTTGTGGTGGGAAGGCCCTCTTTACTGCCACTGGGGCTCCATGAGCTGTTTGGTGCAATGTGTTTGTACAAACATGTTAACAAACACATCAGGCTTCTACTACCCACTGTTTGTTATCACCTTCACAGCTCAGTAAAAAATGCTGGTTGACAGCTGATGCCAACCTTTCCTGTCATCATAGCCTCTGCCTGAGGTGGGTGACATGTATTGTTATGCCTGTGTGAGAACCCAGACTAAACCACCTGTCTCTCTTCTTGGGTACATATAAATGTATACATCAGCTTCTTCCAGTGGAGCGAAGGAAGATACTTGCTCACAGTTGCTTTATACAATGGTTTTGAGGTAGTACTCAAGCTCCTTAGATAATGTAAACTGCTCTCTGCACATGCTAACATTGCTCCTTCTGTTATGTCAGACCCTATACTCATAATTACCTTTTGAGTTTCTATTCCTAAACAAAGATCTTTACAGAAATTTTCTTTTTCATTCTATATTTTGGTATGGGGTTTGTTTGTTTGTTTTCTTTTTTACATTGACAGTCCTTATGTGTTTTGTTTTGGTTTTTTTTTACTGCAGCTGTTCTTTGCATGCTAATTATTAATACTTTTAGAAAAATTGTTTTCTGATTATTTGTTAATCAAATTTGTTCATTTGCACAGGGCTTTTTTCATCACTGCTGCACAATATTGCATTTTAGTGTCACTTTCACTAGCCTGATACTGGCAACATCAAACCTACAAAGTTGTGGGCATGGTCTGTCCAAGCCAGATGTGGAGGGCATCAGTGCCATGAGCACGCTGAGCTTTGTAAGAGATATGTACTGAAAGGCTTCTCCAATGGCTTGCTGGAGCTCTGGAAAGGCATAACTAATTTAGGATTACCATATGAAACCAGTGATCTGACCTGGGCACTGGGTAGCTTGAAACCAACATTAGTATCCATTTCAAGAGCAGAAATCCCTTTTCACATAATTCCAAAAAATTGATATAGTTGAAGCCACAATTACTTTGATGGTGTAAGAAATGATAAATTGACTCCCAGTTTTCAGTTTTCCATTTTCTGCTAATATTTGGTGATCCATTTTGTCTCTACATTACTTCATGTGCCTCCCACATCTTCACTAATCTGTGTAATTTACTGATACTAACAAACTGTGCAATCTCAGTATTCATATTTCATTCATAGTCAAAAGCAGTACAGGAACTTGTGTCAATCCTCCCACAGAATGGCTCATTATTAGTCACTATCTATTCTGGCTTATTGTCATTTCCACTTTTTAGTTTAGTTTCCATTTTTTAGTTTATTTTTAATCAGTGACAGAATTACCTTTTTATATATTACCCATGGGTCTCAAAGTTTAATGGGATTTATATCTCTAAAGAAGACAACCACATTATCAGTAAAATTCTCATCTCTGCAGTTAAAATAATGTTTCCTTTCTTATTTCCCTGTTTCAAATAATACTCCTTTTGACTCCCCTAGTAGGCACTGAATACTAAAAAGCACTTACTAAACAAGAAATGCTTTGAAATGAAAAATTTGATTTTCCTCTGGTCTTGGTTGTTTTTTTCCTCAGTTTCTTTCTTGACCTCCTTTCTCTACTCAAGCCACAGTCTGAAAGCAGAATTAGAATGTTGTGATTTCTGTCCATCTTTATTTGCTTAAGCCCAGTGTGAGAGATTCATTACTTCAATGTAGGATCAATTCTGTGATGTCAGAAAAAAATAGTCAAGCCATTCCTGTCTTTGTTTGTTATTCATGTATATGTGATTCTTGATATACACTGTACAAAGATGTTTAAAAGGAAATGCCTTCTTATGTATTTTTTTAAATTGGAAAATATACTGCATACATGTACATTATATATAATAAAAGAGCTGATTCTGGGTGTGATTTTCTCCCTTGATTAAGTATAATAAATATTTTCAGGTTTTGTTTGGGGTTTTTTTGTCTTTGTTTTGGTTTGGGTTTTGTTTGTTTTGTGGTTTTTTTGTGGGTTTTTTTGGAGGGGGCGGGGGTGGTTGGCTTCTTGTGCTACATCCACTGCTGGCTTGTCCATTTTTGACTTTCCACTAGCTCAGTTGCCCAGGCATTCAGTGCTATGATTTTTCCATCAACCAATCATTTACCACCTTCTAGTTCAGCTGTTCCTCACAGCTATAGAGGCTTTTCAGACACAGTGTTGAATTCTTAATTTTCTTATGGAAACTCTAATTAGTAATCAGGACTGTGATGAGTAGGCTATATGAGATAGGAGCTGCCTGGGTTAAAGATTTATGCAACAGCACACGGGTACAATTTCAGTAAACAAGTGAATGATTGAGAATACCACATAAAACCTGAGTTGCTGCTAAGAAGAAATGAATTGGCAAAAAATAAAAAAGGCTAAAAGCATAATTATGAAATTGGTGAATGATGTGTCACATTGATTGCTATAGTGTGCTAATGTTTGCTCCATTTGATATCTGAGATATTAAAAGCTGTACTTATATGTGTCCTTTCCTGGGCTAACAGAAAGCTACATAGAAGGTTTTTTCAGAAAACTTTTAAAGGTTTCCTGCATTTCTGGAGGTTGTTTTTATTAGCCTATTATGTGCTTTTATGTATTATTCTGTTCCTTTTCAAGCATGTTTTGAAAAAGTTACTTGTGTGCAAGCTGAGAAATGACGGACATTTAATAGCATTCAAATAAGACATTACCCTCTGTGTTTCAGATTCTGCTTTGGAAGAGGCACATAAAATAGTTTCAGAAACAAACAAATTTCTTTTATGTAACTTAGTTTTGTAAAATTAAAGTTCACAACATTCTGAAAACATATTGTTCCTGAGAGAGAAACATTTCACCACTGCTCTTAGAGTAGTAATTCACAGTGACAAAGGCAGCCAGTATATTTTGTTTGTTTAAAACTATACATTCTGGGGGAGGACGGAGAAGCACAAAACACATTTTAAGTGCCTTGAAGTGTCTGTTGTACATGAGAGATTCAGAAACAAGAATGCACCTCTGAAGAGTAATCAGAATATTTTTTCAATAGCTCTTATCCAGAGTAGACCTTATAACCATGTCAATTTATCCTTTTTGGAGTATTTAAAGTAATTAGAAAACAAAAACATAAGGTTGCATATTCAGAACTGATTGGACTGTATGATATTAGATGTAAATATCTCAAAAATTGATTCTTAGATTCTCTTGTTCTTAGAGGATCCATTTTCCAGAAAATAAATGACCTTAATATGATCTGTAAGTGAACACACCAAAATGAAGGTACCCAAAACATAAAAATGGAAGGGTAAAAACTTCAATACACAGTTCATGTCCTCAGTTTCTCATTCCATCTTCCTCTCTGTGCTCCCACCTTACTTATCATCTGGTGAAATTCCTTTGGTGATGTCATGCTCAGGGAACAAGTCTCACTTATAAAAGGATTTTCTTTATTTTTCATAATTTAGCTGAACCAACACAAAACTGAATACTGTAAAGCAACAAAAATGATGTAACATCTTTCATTTTTTTCAGTGTTTACTAAATAAGGCTACGAAGCTCCCTTTAAAATAAATCAAAACAGAGTTGGTAGAGTGAGGGATCTGGCTCTTGAGGTCTACATGTACAGTAAATGTATTTACCATCATTTATTGCATGACATTTTAAACCTGACATTGGTCATTTATAGTGCAGTCAGTCCATAACACTTTAGAAGTGGCTGGGCTTTAATTGCTACTTTGATACTGGTCAAAATCCTATGATTAAATAAGAATTTTGTATATATTTATTTCACTTGAAGACAAAAGGATCCATAGTTCATCTTTTCCTGCAACCACTGCATTATATAATCCTCAGTGTTTGAATAGGTTTTTTAAAAAAATCTTTAATCAACTTTTCATTTTTTTACCTTTCATCTATGGTCACTTGAATAATCTCTATATATTTTTCTTTAGTAGAATAGAACTAGCATAACACTAAAAGTTAATTGGAGTATTAGGTAGTATACTTGAAACCATAATACATTTGCCAGGAAGAAATTAAGCTCCCTTGTTGATTGTATCTTACCAATATGTACCAAACTTATATGCCAAAAGGTACAGTAAAAGGAACAAGGTTTTGTTTGTGTTTTATCATAATTTCTCCCTTGTCTATGCTGTCTTTGCTAAATTTTCACTAACCAATAATGCTGAAAAAGTGGGCATTCTAACAATGAGGTAAAACACTGAAAATGGGATCAAGGAACAGGCTTCAAACTGACCCTTACATAAAAGAGGAAGGAGGGAAGGAGGGAAGGAAGGAGGGAAGGAAGGAGGGAAGGAAGGAAGGAGGGAAGGAAGGAGGGAAGGAAGGAAGGAGGGAAGGAAGGAGGGAAGGAGGGAAGGAGGGAAGGAGGGAAGGAAGGAAGGAAGGAAGGAAGGAAGGAAGGAAGGAAGGAAGGAAGGAAGGAAGGAAGGAAGGAAGGAAGGAAGGAAAACCTTGCTATGAAGAGCAATGAGTAAAATATTTTACACTCTATTTTTATCAGTACATAAAGACAAAAAAATAAAAATAAAATAAAAATAAAAAATGCCTTCCAACAGTGCAATGGTTGAATGCATTTATGTAATATAAACAACATTATTCTTTGCTTTTTCTACACAGTCCTCTCTGGTCATGCTTTACATCCAGAATGTCCCAATGGAAGAAAGCAAACGACACTGGTCACTTCAGAGACAACTGAAGTAATAAAACACAACTTAACTCTGAACCACTTTTCATGACTGTCAGAGTTATCACGTTAATTGTTAAATAGGATTTTCTACAAATATACAACATATAAAAACTGTTAAATATATAACTTTAGGCTTTTCAAAATACATTTAATGATCTCTTTCAAACAAGTGTTACTTTTGTTTTCTCTTTAATTTGCTTTCTGGTGCTAAATGGTGTATCAGATGAGACATAGGCCACAGATGACCAAACATGCTCTTTGCAAATACTGTATTATCCAACTTTAACTATCAAAAATGGAACTGTAGAAGAGGCATGTTTAACTGGTTAAAACGGAAAATGATTTTAGTACGAGAAAGTCAATCTAAGTACAGAGGAATAAAGGTGCCGCGTAGACAGTTTGTGTTCTTTTTGTCTGAGTTTTTCAAACAGGTCATTTTCTCTCAGTGCTCCATTATGTTCTCTTGAACATGGCATTTCAAGAGCAGGTCTCTGAGTTAGTTTTTACTTCAGCTTTCCATAAAGACTTCTGCTGGACAACATTTCAGCTTTGTGAAAGCTGGAATCATGTCTTTGTTGAGACCTCCTTCAATTTAATGACATAACTCTCTTAAGAGTAAGATTGTGTCCACTTTAAAATAGATTTTGCTCTTTGGTCTATTGTAAATACTGAAAGTATAAGAAAATAAAAGCAATTCAGACAGTTTAGGGCACAAGAAGAGTTTCTCTTTTGCACCTCAGTGTCCTCCCATAGGCAAAACAGTCTTCTCTAAGGCTGATTGGGATGATACTCTTCATTGTAGCAGACTCTTCGGATTGAAACATGTAGGTAACAGCAAGTCCAGCAGTGGTGTATAACGCAGATGAAACGTTAACCATGAACTTTTTGTATTGCTAATGCCCAAGCATATCTCTTTTTCTATATTCCTTAGTCCAGTGATCCTTAGAATGGTAGAACAAACTTTAGCTCATAATGCAGAGGAATTATGCTGTCATTCATGAGATACAGAGAAACAGACAGTTGAGTTGATGACATATAACAGATGATGATCAACAGCAGTGAAACTTGACTAAGTTAAGTAGCTCACAGAGAGCCTAAACCACTCCTACGAGGATTCTGTGTTGCTGCATTTGTCAGGAGACCTGTAAATCAATAAGAACAAATGAGTCAGTGTTTTAATTTACAATTCTGCTTATTCTTGATGTCCATTATCATAAAATGCACAGTATTGAGATCTTTCAAGGAGACAGTTAATGAATTAGAAGATACTTATTTTCCACAGCATTTGCCCTGAGAAAAAACATATGAAAAAGCTTATTTTTATAACAAAAATGTTACACTTTAATAATTATTTCTAATAAATGATAGCTTACAATAACTTCAATGCTATCTAATTTCTACTAAGCTTCATGCACATTCTCATAAAAATCACAGAATGTTCTTTTACACACATTAAAATTACAAATAACAATATCAAATATACATGGTGATTAAGATTACTTTTACTTTTTATGTTTAGGATGTAATGAAAAATGGACTTGAAAGCCATGACCATATATTAAAAATGCAAAGACATTTGTACTGGAGGCTTTTCTGAAGTTAAATTTCCAAAGAGCACTAGAGTGTGCCTAATTTAATCAATACTGCCCTCTAGTGATGCTATTACAAGTTCAAATTAATGTAAATAATGGCTATTAATAGTCAATTTAATCAGAAAATTGTTTTAGTTACGCACCAGAAAAAAAAAAAAAACCAACGAAAGAAAAAACAACAAAAAAAACCCTAAAAAAACACAAGATAGCAAAAATGGGCAAAGTACTGCCCAATGAACCTGTTGCAAAGAAAATTGAATGGAAGCAGTATTTTGAAAGGGAAGCTGAACCAAAGTTCACACTGTTAAAGAAATCAAAAGTACTGAAAGACAGCGCAAACACAAATGAGAAAATAATGACTTATTTATACAACAAAGAGCCAGCTACTCATGCTCACACAAAATATGAGTTTATAAATGGTTTAAAAATTCCACAGATTCTGTATACAACAAAATGTTGTGGGGTGTATTAAGCAAGCATGATTGTTACAAATTGCTGTTTGAATTTTCAAACACCATCTCCTGCTTTGGCATTGTTCTGTCTCCAAGTAGTCAGAACTGTTATTACTGATGGAAATACCATGCAAAACTCCATAAAATACTGAAGAGTGAATGTAAAAGAGCAAAACAAATAAGAAAATCCAATTCAATTGGTTTAAGCCATATATTAAATATTGCATTTTAACCTAACCTTCAGAGCAGTATATGAAAGAAAAATCTGCCTCCAAATCAATTTAGTGACAGCTTGAAACATATGGATCTCTATATATATGCATGTAGAAAGAAAGAAAAAGAGAGAGAGAGAGGCAGATAGACAGATGAATACTTTCCTTACAAGGCATAAAGTGTATGTCATAGATTTCTGCTTTTGTCCTCTCACCTTTTCCAGGAAAAAACACCCCAGAAATCTTGCAAACAGCCTTTCCTTTTCGGACTAGTGATCAGATCTCCAAACCACATGGCCTCAGACAGGCTGAAGGCAAAAAACCTCGTTGATTATTGTGATATATTCCCCTTCTTAAATATACTTTCAGCAAGAGAAATAATGTTTTGCTTCTATTAATTGCCCTCTTTCCCCTTTAAACCCTTTCTTGACCTTCCTGCTCTGCCCCCTATTTTTTCTTCCCATTAGAAAAGAACACAACTTTTAAGGTAGTAATATTTTTTAGGTTGCAAGACACAAAGCAAACAATTTATGGTTTATTAGGCCTGAAAGTAAACTATTATGTGTTGAGAATTAGCTTGACATAGCTCCATCTTTCCTTTATTATGCCATAATGGCCCACAGCTAAAAGCAACAGCGTAAACTGCTGATGGACTGCATGTTCAGTGTTTTCATAGTGTACTTCTCTACCATATCGGTCCCAGGAAGAAGAGAGAATTCAGGTACAACGACATATATTCAGAGATAACCTGCTGCTTAGTCATTTTGTGGGGATAAAAGCTCCCTTCCTTCCTTGCTATCCCTGTCTCCACCCTGAACACCCCTGCTGCATGAATATGGTATTAACACTTTAAAAGAAGACGAGAAGAGGGGAGAAAATTATGCAGTTTAAAAATGTTGAGGAAGGGCATAGAGCAGGCTGGAAATAAAGTGATGACAGGAAGAGGAACATATTAGAGAATGGAGGTGAATTTACAACTTTGGACAATGACAGGAGAAAATGAAATTAAATGAAAGGGGGAAAACCCCATAGGTTAGCCAGTGATGTATAAACATCTCTTATTCATGAAGTCATGAAAAAGAAGTAAGATAGGTAATAAGAATAACAAATATAAAAGAGAGAGAAAATAAGGGAGAGCACAATGAGTCCAGAGAAGAGGAAGAGAATGCACACCTACCCTCCCACCTCCTGTTTTTTCCCTTTCGTTCCTCATTACAGGTAAATTAATCACTCCCCAGAAAAACAGAGATCAAATAAGAGAAAAGAGGGACTCCTAAAAAAAATAAAAAGGACTCGTTTACTATTTATAGTTCAATCCATATAATAGAATCATATAATCATATAATCAAGGTTGAAATATCCTTTTAAGACCATCAAGTCCACCCCAGCACTCTCAAGTCCACCACTGAACCATGTCCATAAGGACCACATATGTACATCTTTTAAACACTTCCAGGGATGGTGATTCAATCACTTCCCTGCATAGCTTCTTCCAAGGCTTGACAACCCTTTTAGTGAAGAAGTTTTGACTAATATCCAAACAACTAAGTTCCCTCAGCCACTCCTCAAAAATTTTGTGCTCCAGACCCTTTCCAACCCTGTTGCCCTTCTCTGGACATGCTCCAGTACTTCAACATCTTTCTTGTATGTGAGAGGCCCAAAACTGAATACAGGATTTGAGGTGTGGACTCACCTGTGCTGAGTACAGGGGGAAAATCACTGAACATACTAATGTGGATACAAGCCAGGATTCCACCAGCTTTTCTGGCTGCCTGGGCACAGCTGGCTCATGTTCATCTACTGTTGACCAGCACTCTCAGGTCCTTTTGTGCTGGGTCATTTTCCATCCATTCTTCCCCAGCCCTGTAGCACTGTCTGGGGTTGTTGTGACCCAAGTGCAGGACTCACTACTACACCTTGTAGAACCTCCTATACTTGTCCTCAACCCACCAATCCAGCCTGTCCAGAGCCCTCTGCAGAGTCATTCTACCCTCCAGCAGATAAACATTTCCATCCAACTTGGTGTCATTTATGAGCTGACTGAGGGTGAACTCAATGCCCTTGTCCAGATCCTGGATTAAGACATTAACCAGAACTGGCCACAGTACTGAGCCCTGGGGAACACCACTAGTGGCTGTCTGCTAGCCAGATTTAATTCTATTCTCCACCACTTTCTGGGATCGGCCATCCAGTATTTTTTTTATCCAGTGAAGGGTGCACCTATCAAAGCAGCCAGTTTTGCTGTGGAAAACAGTGTCAAAGGCTTTACTAAAGTTCAGGTAGACAACATCTGCTGCCTTTCCCTCATTTACTGAGTAGGCAGCCTTGGCATTAGACGAGGTTGGTCCAGCAGGTCGATGCCTTTCATATACCCATGCTGGCTGGGTCTGATCCCCTGTGCATGTGCCACAGGATGACACTCAAGATGATCTGCTCCACGACCTTCCCTTGCACCAAAGTCAGACTGAAAGACCTGCAATCTACCCCATAGAAGCCCAGGGTGGCAGCTCTGCTGATCTCCCTCTTTACTTCTCTAAGAATTGAAAACATTAATTGAACCACATGACAATTACTACTTGCCTAACAGGCAAGTTTAAAGTAAAACAGTGCTCTTGATGGCTGTTTGGCAGCAATTTTTAGAATATTAATTAGCTCATTAGATTGCAGTAATAACTGTAAATTAAATAACTACTTACATAAAACTGCTTCAAATCCTGGTAAATGTGTATTAGCATTGTTTTGTTTCTTTTTTCCCTTCACATAGGAAATTTGTAGCAGCATAAAATTAAAGAAAGGCTGCATAACTATCATATAGAACAACATTTTTTTCTGTTCGTACACAGATCTCATATAATTTCTAGGTACCCATGCACATGTGTGTTTGTCACTGACTTCAGTGAAGTCAGAATGTCTTCCCAGCACTTCAGACAGCAGGTTCTGCTTCCTTTGGAAGGAGGCAAATATTTGGGCTGTAAGTTTGAGTTTCCTCAAATTTGAGGTACTGAGCAGGCATCTAGTACCTGAGATTAAAATACTATTATATGTTTTCTGACTGTTTACATAGTGGAAGTCCAGGCCCCTGTGTTCCACAGGAATCTGCTCAAGAGGAAAACAAATTTTCCTGCTAATAACCCAAAACATAAGAAACAATACAGTTCACATGAAAATACACATCTTACTGTTGTTCTTGGGTGGCGTCAATATGTCCTGAGAGTGTTTGGCTTATTAGAGCAATTATAACACAGTCCACTTAATTTGTCTTACTCTGCAGGGAGTAGGATAAGGGTCAGTCTAGCCCCAACTGTGCCCTAATGGCACATAAAACATGTTATTTCTTAATTTTTATGGTCAAAACAAAGGGAAAAAAGTTATTCAAGTCACCTTGAGAATATATATGATGCTTTGCTGACTTAACACAGGTTTTACACCATAAGAAATCCCCACAAAAACCTCTCTTTCAGTGCAGTACCTAGGATTTAACTGAGTGACAAAAACGTTTGAATTTCTCATCACAACCAGAAAGCTGAGACAGGCTTACTGCAAGTGGCAAATATTTTCAGTTAGGATCAAGTTTCAAGTATGTCTTGACCTTTTACTTTACATGGAATCCACATAAATACCAACAATTCCATATCAAGCCTGATAAAACTTTAGCAGTTTCATCTGTTTTTCACTCAATGTTTTCAGAATAAAGAGTTCAACAAAGTTGGGTTTTTTGCTACAGTAGCCAAGTGCTCTTACACGACTACCTATTGCAGCCACATTGGCACTCTGATGACAATTCTACCTATCATGCTTCCAGAACTGATTTCTGGAAATTTTCTGGACACCTACAAAGTAATTGGTCATTTTAAAGATGTTTCAGTGTTGCTTAAAAGCTGCACTACTTGTTTAAATTGTCTATTTTACACTTCCAACTACAGTCTTATGCCTCTGTGAGTCTTAGGATTCTGTACAGCATCCATCAGTGCAAATAGTTTTCTTTTTATTTGGGTTCTTTTTACACCAAGAAAATTCGCAGAGATGGATGCAGGTTGAACCAGTCTCTGACTCACAAATCTATTCCTAATAGAAACAGTTCCAAACCTTTTACCAACTGACTGCAAGTCAGATAAACAGCATGTCTTTCCCCTCTGCTTCTGTGGCTCTCAGTTCTAGGTCCCTAAACAACTAAGCACATATGATACAGAAAGAAAGATGTAAAAGCATTAAAATGCCCTAGGAAAACCTTACACTGCCTTGCAAGATACCTCCTGCTTTATGGGAATAAAAATGTAAATTCCTGGTGATGATCCAAGGAGTAGCAATGACCTGTTTCATTCATGAGAACTCCCATAGTCCCTCCTGAAAATTAATTTTGTTTCCCTTCCTTCCTCCCCTTTTCTCCATGCTGTTCATATATGCAAACTGAATTGCTTAGTCTTCAGAAAATAAGGACAAGTTAATCTAACTCTAAAATATCTGCAGCTATTAGGAATAAGAAAAAGAGCATGAAAGCTACCCTACTTAATGCTGTATTCTGTCTCACTGACACAGCCACCGGAAGAACAATTTCAGAGTTCAAACCACAGTACCTGCAGAACTAGAAGTTATAAGACTGAACAAATTTAGTGTCTGTGATTCTGGGTGAATATTTATTGAAAAAGAAATCTAATGCATTAGGTAGTGTATATGTTGGTGCATTTTCCTGTGCTGCACTTCAACAAAGTAGCCTTCCTGATTTACAGATAGCAGAATCCCATTATCAGCCACCTCAAAAAGAACATGCCTTTTCTTTTAACACCCATTGTTTGTTTTTTTTCTCTTCCACTATTCAAATCTGACACAGAAAGAAGTGTTTATTCCAAATCTGAGACTCTTTGTAAAAGACTTTTTTTTCCCAATAACTATTTTAATATCAGTCTGTCTGAAAAAAAAAACCCAAAAAGTCTCATTTCCCCTTAAATAACACTTCTAGCCCTATCTTCTCAACTTCCCCTGACCATCTGTCAGGACTATCATCATGATCATTAATTTCCTCTTCTATTAAAACCCTTTTTGTCTCATATTACCTTTTTTTAACTTACAAGATTTTGGAATACTCTGGGTCAGATGATACACTCTTCTTCTGAATTGCCTCATAAGCAATAAGTGCCTCATAAGCAATAACAGTGAAGGAAGTGGGGCTGTTGTTACAATTAGATAATCCTTACAATGACTGAAAATGCTAGAACCACACATTGTAACCCAACTGAAGTACATTTGAACCTGGCTCACGTAGGTAACCCTTGTTTAAGAGCTCAGCCTTAAGCATGTGTAATAACTCAAGCTTGCCTTGGGGTATCTGAGCATATACTAAGGAAAAGCAATGGAGGTGGCAGAATCATAGACTCATTTAGGTTGGAAAAGGCCTCTAAGTAATTGGCTCCAATATCTGAGCATCACCTTGTCAACTAGACTATGACACTGAGTACCACATGCAAGTTTTTTGCGAACACCTCCAGGAATGGCGACTACACGACCTCCCCACTCAAGCTGTTCTAATGCTTGACAACCCTTCTGTGAAAAATTCCTCCTGACCCCAACCTGAGCCTCACCTGGTGCAGCTTGATGCTGTGTCCTCTCCTGTCACTAGATGGTTATGACAAGGTGATCCCCACCTTTCTACAGCCTCCTTTCAAGTACTTGTAGAGAGCAATAAGGTCACCCCTGAGCCTCCTTTTCTCGAGGCCAAACATCTGCCTCAGCTGCTCCTTACAAGGAGCTCCTTGTGTTCCAGACCCTTCACCAGCTCCGTGCCTTTCTCTGGACACACTGCAGCACATCATTGTCTTTCTTGAAGTGAAGAGCCCAGAACTGAACACTGGATTCAAGGTATGGCTCACCAGTGCCAAGTACAGGAGCCAATCACTGCCCTGGTGCTGCTGACTTTATTGATCCAGACCAGGATGATATTGGCCTTCTTGGCCACCTGGGCTCACTGCTGGCTCATGTTCAGCCAGCTGTGGACTCACACCCCAGGTCAATATTGGTCCAGAAGAGAAAGACAGCAGCAAGAATATCTGTCCTCAGTACATTCAAAGCCCTTGGATACAAAGGTGATCAAGGGGTATTTTTTTCTCAAAGTAGCACTTAAAACTGTTGTGGATAACAAAAGAGCAAATCAGGTCTCATTTTGCCCCCTGTGAAATCCAAAATCAGCTCCTTCAAGCAACATGGGTTGAAAGAGGGAAGGATGAAGAGAATCACACATCTTATGAGGCACAACAATGCAAAGCAATGTGTTTTCATCTC